GCTCTGCGGCTGTTTATGGGAAGGGGATACCCCGCCCCCCCCGTCCTCCCGCCCCCCAGTCCCTCCCTCCTGGGCGCAGGGGCGAAGGGGCGGCGCGCCCGGGCCTGGTTAACCGCAGAACGATGGAGCTGCGCCCGCCCCGCGCCCGCCGCCTAATTGTCTCCGCCGCCCGTCCCCATCTGTCCCTCTCCGCCCGTGTGTGTTTTGGCCTTTGTCTCGCCGCCCTGCGCTGACACCCTCTTTCAAAGCCCACTTCTGTCGCCCTTCACCGATCGCTTCTGCCCCATTAACCCATCGGCACGAGGCTCCCGCAACAAAGGCCCGGAGTCGGGCGGACGCGCGCGCGCGCCTGCCCATTGTCCGCCGCTGACCCCGCGGCCCCCAGCCTGGCCTGACCGGCCCGACGGGGCAGGGCAGGGCCGGCCTTGCAGATAAACAGAGGAGGCGTCCTGCCCGGGCCGAGCTCCGCCCTCAGTGAACGGGGCCCGGACCAGGACGGCCGCCTTGGCAAGGCCGGCGAGCAGCTGCCGCCGCGGGAACCGCGGGCCCGCCCGCCGGGCAGCTAATCCGCCGCAGGCCCCTTTGTCCCTCGCTGGACGTGAAGCTGGCAGAGAGCGCGCCTGGGGAGAGAGCGGGCCCGCCGCGTGGCCTGCCTGGTAAACAAAGAGGAGTGTTGCTGATCGGGGCTGCCATCCTCCGGTTCCCGGTTCCGGTCCTGCTGGAGGGAAGGAGAGCAAGCCCCGCCGACCTGACCCGGGAGCTCCTCCCGGTGCGGCTGCAGTGCCTGAGGCTAACCGGGACCTCCCAGCACAACCCGGAGGCAAGATGTTCTTCCCGAGCAGGGGGCTGCATCCAGGAGGTGCTGCGCAGAGCCGAGGAGCTTTCGCTGGAATCTACGGGCTGCTCCTGGGCCGTGGCTGAGCTGTGCCCTGGGTGGAGCCGCAGCCGTGGTCTCTTCTGGAGACCCCTGTCTGGCCCAGGGCTCCTTTTTTGACGAGTGAGACAGGAGGAAGGTGGCTCGTGGCCCAAGGGCATCAGAAGGTCACCTTTCTCTACAGCGGGTGTTGCGCTGCCAGCAGGAGGCAGATGGGCCCAGGCAGAGCGGAGCTGCAGGAGGACACTGATGAGCAGTGTGGTCTTGGCGACCCCCATGTTTTACACCCAGATCCTGCCTGCTTTCATTTTCTATCCCGCAAATGCCACTCCCAGGGCCTAGTGGTGGCCCTCTGCACGCCTGTCCTCAAGACACTGACGTGTCCCCTGGAGACATCCCATGGCGAGGCTAGGAGAAAGGAGTTCCTGTTTCTAAGTCTGTCTAGACCACTAGTTTTTTTTAAATTCATTAAACATCTAAAATAAAGGGATGGCAAAAGAAAGAAGAACGAACACGGTAGGGTTGCCCAAGGCACCCACGGTGCCACCAGCAGAAACTTGCTGACTGGCCTGTCACTGTCCGCGCCCCAGCCCCGGTGCTGGGGGACCTGAGGCCAGAGTCTGGGCAGCTCTGCCGTCTCCCTGATGACCTAATGACCGGGTAACCATGATTCCTTCCAGAGGGTCCGGTGGTTGTCAAGAGTCCAGAAAGAAGACGAGGCCCCTTGTCTCCTTCCGCCCCGTTGCCTGGAGCCCACAGCCCGCTCTGGCTTTGCTCCTACAGGGACTTTGCACATCAGTGTCACGATGCAGCACAAGTCCAGGTCCTCTATGCTTCAGGTGCAGCCCGGAACTGTGACCTGAACTTGGTCCTCGAGTGCTCCGCACGTGACAACTTCTGCAAGTGTTTGGGCAGAAGCAAAGGCTGACGACAGAGTCCAGTGCAGCCGGCAGGACTGGCAGAGTCGCCTCCTGGGAGCCTGCCGCCGTAGCTGGGGACCAGAGGTCCAGGAGCTGGACTCAGGCCAGCAGCGAGAGGCAAGGGTCCTTCTTAAATGATAGCTTTACTGAGATGTCACTGCCACACCACCAAATGCACCCTTTTAGACTGTACCATCCCGAGTTTTCAGCTCGTTCACAGAGCTGAGCAGCCATTGCCACTAATTCCAGAACACTGTCATCGCCCCCCAAAGAATCCCATACCCATTTGCAGTCACTCCCCATCTTCTGCCCCTCCCCCCTCAGCCCCTGGCAACCACTAATCCACTTTCGTCTCTATGGATTAGACAAGGATAATTTTGCAAAAAGAAATTCTACCAGTCTGGGAAGGACTGTATAAATGAGGAATGTGGGGGTCAGGCCTGAAAACTCTCTCTGTGGATCAACATGGCCACTTGTCCCCACCTGGGACATCTGTTTTAAACATCAGCACGCTTTTTTTTTTCCAGTTTACAGATTTTTTTTTTATTTTGTTGAAGTATAATTTACAATGTTGTGTGTTCATTTCTACCGTGCAGCAGTTACTGAGTCACACATACATGCATGTGTTCTTCCCCATTATCGTCTGTCACGAGATATTGAACAGCGCTCCCTGTGCCCTACAGCAGAACTTGGTTGTTAATCCATTCTGTTTCACCAGTTCGCATCTGCTAACCTCAAACTCCCCATATTTCCCTGGCAATACCCCCATCCCTGGCAACCTCACGTCTGTGAGTTATAGACATGGTCTTAAGATCACTTCTGGCCCCCTCTGTTTTCTCTCTGCTTCTGTGGGTGCCAGCTGGCTCCAACCTGGTGGAAACCACACCTTTCCGTCCTGTCAGTGAGATGCTAACGCCAGCGGAGCCGCCTGGGCACCCAGAGTGGCCATGCAGAGGCTCCTCACAGCCATCCCTGACTCCATCCTCCCCAGCCCTGAGGTCAGTGTGATCCTCAATGTCCATGGAGCTTCATCAACTATGATTTGGATTTCAAAGCAATTAAGAAGTTGTTCACTTCAGAAAAGGCCATTTAGTTTTCCCTGAACAACAACAACAAAAATTTTTTTTAATGTAGCCCATTTTTAGCACCAAATCTTGTCATCATCCCATTCTTTATGAGCCCAAACTCCTAGCAATCACAGCATTGGGTTTCTAATGAGCATTTTCTTGATTTACAGCAGAAATGAGCAGTTATCTGCTAATAACCCCTGAGTCTGAAATTAAAAGGGCTGAGAAAATAAACCAAATTGCCAAGATCAACTCTCGTTAAATAAAGGCGTTGTGAAAAGACACAGCACAACATTTTCATGCATCGGATCGACAACACAATAGCTCCTCATTTGAGGCTGTGATTATTTAATACCACTTAGCAGCTGCAGAGCACTCGCCCTACGAGCGTTTAATGGACATTTGTTAATTAATTCTCAGCAGAGCCCATCCACCCATCCTGTACATGAGAAACTGAGGCAGGCACTGGAGGCGACAGAACGGAAGCCTGCAGGAGAGCGCAGACTCAGGCGGCCTCCTCCCTCGGCCCACGGGCTCGTGACTGCTCAGCCCCCCTGCCCGCCCCAGGCTGAGCTTTCTGCCCAGAGCAGCCAGGGGGCGGGGAATGTCTAAATGGCTCTGAAGAAATTCATAAACAAAGGCAGAGTTTATGAGTCTCTGACTTGGCTAGAGAGTCAGACGTCAGTTTTATTCCACCCACCAGGAGAAAACGGAGAACCACTTGACAGCCTGAATTAACTCAAAGTTAAAGGCTGCAGACACTGTGAGTTGCAAGCTGCAACCTGGAGTAGAAATCCAGGCAGAGAGGCTGCAGGTTCACAAGGAACCACATGCCCAGTGGGGTCATGGACACTAGCTAGGACTCAGCCCTGTCCTAGCAGATAGCAGCTGAGACAACAGAGAGACACCCAGGTTTACAACTCAAGTCACCGTGGGCTTTCTGGTCCTATCTTCCCACATGGCCACTGTGCTTATCCCCAGGCCCCCTGCGGGAACAAGAGGCTGCTCTCAGTGGCTCCCTGTTGTCCTCCTTAGAAGAAAGCCTTCCATCCCAGGGACACAGCGGTGGCAGGCAAAGAGAGAGCCTGAGAGACCCTGGGAAGAGGATTTTGGTCCCAGAAGCTGGTGGGGGTAGAGGCGCCCCTCCTCAGGCTCACCCCAGGTCCTCATTATGCTTCTTGGCCCCGGGAATGACTGGCACACACTCCCCTGCAGGCCACTCTGGGGGCAGGAGGAGGCCAAGTCCTGGACGCTTTACCTAGGCCAGTCTGATTCCAGGACACATGACCTATTTGATTGTTGGACGTACGGACAAGGGCAAGCGGGGGTGGGGGGTGTGGTCAGAAGCAGTCACCCCTCCTTCTCTGACCAGTCAGATGGGTCCAGGGTCCAGGCTCAGGTGTCCAGCGTGTTCTGTGTAGCGGCTGAACCGCGCCCACTCTCAATGCGTCTTCATTACTAAAGAGCCCGCCTTTGCTTTCAAAAACACGACTGAATAAAAGCTGGGGCCTGACCGAGTTTGTGGGGGTGGGGAGTGTCCAGCTGACCACCACCCCCCAGCTATGGGGAGCTTCACATCGATTACGAAGCTTCCCCTCGAAGTCACTGAGAACGGCCTTGTGGAGCCGGGGAGGCTGTGTGTGACGGGTGACGAGCGACAGGCCATGAGACGAAGATGACAGCGACTCAACGCCTACAACTGACCAGACAGGAACTGCCCAGAGGAGGAACCGGAAGTCCAGGGGCGCCAACCGGAAGGGGCGGGGCGGCCGCCCGGAGACGCCAGAAGGCCTGGGGTCGCTCTTGGCCAGGCCTGGCGTTCGGGGCTCCAGGCGGTGATCTGTCCCAGCCGCCCTGCTTTTGGACGAGGTCAGCAGGACCCACCTTGCAGGTGGGGTGCAGAGCTCGTGGCCGGAGAGAGAGGGTGCACTGGGAGTCGAGGGGTGAGGGTGGAAGGCCAGGTCCGAAAGTGGGCTGCGGGCCTCAGAGGGGCTAAGGTAGGCCCGGGGCGCCGCCTGGCTCTGATCCGGGGCAGTCGGCAGCAGGGTCCTTCTGTAACGGGATGACCTAGTGAACTCTCAGGCTGGGAGACGCCGCTGGGTGTCTCCACCTGGAGAGGAGACCCCTCCCGCTGTGGCTCAGACAGCGGTACCGTCTGGTCTGTGGTGGTCGCGGTGAGGCGTGCCCCGCCCCCCCCCCCCCCCCCCGCCCCGTTGCTCCCCAGAGGGCGGCTTTGTCTGGGGCTGCTGTTCTGGGACAGCGCGGGACTCCTGGGGGGCCGTCCTGGATGGCGGGGGCTTGTCTTCGTTCAGTCTCCAGAGAAGAAGGCCCTCTGGACTCAGTAACTCCCAAATGTCAGTTACTGAAGTCTTACTGTAGTGTATCCACACACCACGGTGTATTTTCTGTTTCTCTTTAAATGTACTTGAAGCAGAATTGCTTTTTTTTTTAATTAATTAACTTTTTTGGCTGCAGCTTGAAGCTTGCAGGATCTCAGTTCCCCAACCAGGGATTGAACCCAGGTCCTAACCGTCGGACCACCAAGGAATACCCCAGAATTGCTTATTTATTTATTTATTTATTTATTTATTTTTACTGTATGATTTTATTTCTTTTTTTGTTTTTTTTTTTTGTTTTTTTTTCATTTATTTTTATTAGTTGGAGGCTAATTACTTTACAGAATTGCTTTTTTAAAAAATATTTTTATTTGACTGCCCGAGGTCTTAGTTGTGGCATGTGGGATTTTTAGTCATGGCATATGAACTCTTAGTTGCAACATGTAGAATCTAGTTCCCTCACCAGGCATTGAACCCAGGTCCCTGGCAGTAGAAGTGGTGAGTCCTAACAGCTAGACTACGGGGGAGTTCCCCAGAATTGCTTTTTAATTCAGCCTCATCCTCGACCAATTCTGTGAAATCCCAAGTTCAACGTGCCTGCTGCTTTCTCTCATACAGAGATAAGTGACGGTTGAGATAAGTGACGGTTATTAAAGACTGCCTGTTTGTGTGCCCCCGTGGTCATCTTGCAGGCCCCAGGAGCCCGCTGTCCTCCGCGTGGGAAATTCCTAGACCAGATGACCTAATGACGGATTCTGCAGAAGTGAAACCGTCCTTCCGTGGGAGGCAGCAAGGGCCCTGGGACAGAGCCCACCCAGAAGCCCAGGCAGGAGCCCTCCGCGTCCAGCCGCCGCTGCGTGAGCAATGCGGGAGGAGCCCCTGGGCCTCCCTGAGCCCCACGTGCCCAGCTCCGCTGCAGAGTGAGCTGGTGGTGAGGACTGAGTGAACTTATACTGGGAGAGAGTTGGGGAAAGTGTTGTCATTGTTCTAAATGAAAGGCGGTTGCAGCTTGAACTGAGGATTGTGTTTCTCTGGGATTCAGGGTTTCTTGAGCCTAAAAAGCAGTGGAGGGGTTGATGACGCTTGAGGACATGATACTCAGAGAGATCAGCCATACACAGAAGAACAGACACTGCGTGACCCCACTTCTGTGAGGTCCCCAGAGGAGTCAGGGTCACGGAGACAGGATGTAGGGGGTGGGGGCAGTGGCTGGGGGAGGGGGGCTCGATGTTAAACGGGGACAGAGTCTCAGTCAGGGAAGATGAGAAAGTTCTGGAGATGATGGTAGTGATGGCTGCATAACAGCATGAATATACTTAATGCTCCTGAACTGTACACTGGAAAAATACTAAAATGGTAAATTTTATGCTTTGTATATTTTCTCTGCAATAGAGGGAAAAAGAGGAGAGAGGAGAGAGAATGCACTTGTGGTGGGTACATGGGGATTCATGCTATTAAGTCTCTCCACTTTCGTTCATAGTTGAAATTTTCCGTAATTTTAAAAAGATTTCTCAGGTTTTCTCCAGGAGGGCTGGCCTCTAGGCTTGGGGTCTCAGAGCTTGTGCAGGTACGGAAGCCCGTGGAGGCTTTCTTGTGGCTTTCTGTGTTCCTCTGAATGTGGTTATTTCTAAAGGAGCTCTTCTGGTTCTCTGGCCCCCCGCTCTGGGGACGGAGTAAAGGTGGCCCAGGCAGGGCCCAGGGACCCCGTTTCAGCAACAGCTCCGCTGCAGAGGAGGGCCCCACTCACCCTCCTGGGGGGCGCTGGGCGGGCTGGGGGCAGTCCTGCAGGTGAGGACGTTCCCTCGGGAGGGCTCAGTCTCTACCCTCTGCCCCTTTGTGGGCCTTGAGGTCACGCTTTGCCCCCTCTCTCTGTGCGCTCAGCACAGCGAACACCCCTATTTTCAAACATTTAGATTCACGTATGTTCTGGTGCTGGCATTTAGCAAAGAAAGCTGTCTCCATTAAAGCCGACTAACAAAAGATTTTCCTCTTCCCTACAACTTTCATTTCCACTCTTCCCTCACCTTTTAAAATGTTCCACCCGAGTTGAAACATTCCCGTTTGATTTTGCACCCAGAGGCCCCTGCCCTGGAAAACGAGGCCTGTTTTTGTTTCCCTGGGGTCAGTGGTTTCCTCCATCCTTAAATTCCGGTCACAGTGCTGGAAAGAAAAACCGGTCAAACACACTTTCCTTCCTCCTAGGAAACCACCCGGAGACTTGGCCTCCCCGGCATTTAAAGCCCAGCTTTCCCTATGCTCCTGGCTGAGAGTCTGGGTTTTCCTAAAAAACTCCTTACCTTCTTTCTCTGTGAATATATCACCACCGTCTGGATCCTCGGCTGCTAAAGTTGTCACCAAGCCTCTTTGGTATTGGGTAAACGTCTCTGAATAATTCAAAATAAGCCACCAAACAAGGCACATTCATTAAACATTGGGGAACATTTCCAATGCGCAGCATGAAACGAGAGCTGCACGCGGAGCGCGCCCCTCAGCGCTCGGGCTGGAGGGGCTGAGCAGAGGCTGTGTCCCGTTATCTGAGCTTTGTGGTCTCGAGTCTCCGCTCTTTTATTCATTTTTTTATCTACAGTTCTAAACTACTATTTCATTTATTAGAACAATAGGGAAGCTTATTGAGGTGGTATTTTTATTAAAATTTCTATTAACTTTTGCTATCAGTACAGTTGTAGATTAATTAATTTTTACTACTTTTCTAAAGCAAAAAATATTAGAGCTGATCCCAAGTTACTTCACATGTGAAACAAGCAAAATCAGAAAAAGAGCAGTTCGGCAAGAGAGATCTCGCTGGTTAAGACCAGGAAGAAGTTTACAGTCAACAGGTAGCTTGCCAGGTGGGTTGTCTTCATCTGGGGGGGTTCAGGCAAAGTTCTGCTTTGTTCTGTCTGAGGTGATTCTCACAGAGAGACACACAGATCTGCTCTTTCACGTAGTGAGGGAATTGTTTTGTCTTTGGAGTAGATGCATAATTCTGTGAAGTGGTTTCTTTTTGTTTGTTTGTTTGTTTGTTTTTGGCCTTGATACTTGGCATGTAGGATCTTAGTTCCCTGACCAGGGATCAAACTCATGCGCCCTGCATTGAAGGTTTGGAGTCTTAACCACTGGCCACCAGGGAAGTCCCTGAAGTGGCTTTCTCGAGGTGAAATTTACATAATATGAAATTCACCATCTTAAAGTGAACATCGTTAATACCATCACAATATCCTGCAACCACCACCTCTAGCCAGACCTCTTTCCTTGTCCCCAAGGAAACCCCAGACCCGTTAGTGGTCACTCTCGATTCCCCTTCTCCCAGCCCCTGGCGGCCACCGGATCTTTCTGTCTCTGTGGATTTTCCTGTTCTGGCCGTTTCACATAAATGGAATCGCTCACTGTGGGGCCTTGTGTTTTTGGCTGCTCTCACGGAGCATCGGGTTTTCAGGGTTCGTGGCTGTGTGTGTGTCAGAGCTTCACTCCTTTTTCTGGCCGAGTCACCTCCAGTGTGTGTACAGTCAGCCTGTTTGTCCGTCACCTGTTGTGGACATTGCTTTCCACGTTTGACTGTCTTTGCATGGCTGCTGTGAACACATGTGGGCGTGTGTATTTGAGGCCTCATCTCCAGTCCTTCGGGTGCAGACCCAGGAGAGGAGTGCTCACCGTTGGTCGCTCTGTGTTTCCTGCTCTCTCACTTTTACATAGTGAGCCTCCTCCTCCCCGTCCGGGGGAGGGGCCGTAGATGGGATGTGCAGGGGGATGCTGGGAACAGTAGCCGCCTGCCTTGACGGGACTGCTCGCCTGTGGAGCACCTTTGGGGGAAGGAGTTGGGAGATTTCTTGTGGGTCGTCACGTGCCTCCATTTTCCTGAAATGCATGTCCCAGGAGGGGCGTCAGGCCGCTATGATGTTTTCTGGCAGAGTATGGCTATTACTGTCAGCCACATCCATTTTCCACCCTAAACTTGCTCATTTTAAACTGAAGTATGTTAAAATCTTCCAACACTTCAACCAGAGAGAAAACCCCTGCAAGGGGACAGGCCACGGGGACCCTAGAGGTGATGACAGGCGAGGGAGTGTGCTGGACCCTGCTTTCCCAATGCCCTGGGCCTTGGAAAGACTGGGTCGCTGTCTGTCATCCTCACAAATAAAGATTAGGGGACATGCCCGGAGCTAGCAAAGGTGGAAGAGCAGGCATGAACTCAGCCTGCCTTTCCTCCAAACCTGTTACCCCAAGAGGGAGACAGCCAGGCACAGATCCCGCCAGGAGGGAAGGAAGAACCTCCCCTGCTCACATGGAGCCAGCCACTCCCCGAGCCAGAGCAGATCCCAGGTGGCCTTCAGCTTCTGTGTCACCCTGGCTGGAACTCTAGCTCAGCGGACGCTACCACGGCGCTCCTGACTTTTCAGAAACGGCCGTTGGTTAGGGCAGCGTGGCCTGCCTGTCGCTTCTCACCTGACCTCTACATGCCCGTGGCGTGGACCACCGTCCTAGTAGACTCAGCAGTGCGTCTCCCTCCAGTGAAATTTCACAGAAACAAGAGGTGAATCAGCGAAATGAGCACCGAGCTCCGGTGTTGGGCATCCAGGCTGAAGTCCGCCATGGTCAACAGGCGAGCCGGGAGCCGCAGCCTGGAGGTGGGAGAGAAGGGGGACGGCAGGAAGGTGCTGGCTTCGGACGCCCGTCCTCAGCGTCCCAGCCCAGCAGCTCAGCTCTGGGTGGAAAGTGCAGCCGCTGGTCAACAGTGGGCCTCAAGCCCAAGGCACATCTGGTGCCCAGGTGTTTGGGCTTCATTCTGGCATGCCGCCAGCCAGCAAGGATTCCCACTCCCCTCCCCCGACCTCCCCACCCTCAGCGTTATCCCAGGAACACTCTGGGGTCGTTGCCTTTGTTGGAGGAAGCCCAGGGACAAACGGACTTCTGTCTGGATCCTGAGGTTTGGTGCTCAGTCCTTGACCTGCCCTCCACTGGCCGCCCTCTGTTTTGACTGGAATCTTCAGGACGAAGGGCTGGGAGGCTCAGAGCTGAAGCTCCCAGTGCTTTGAAAGCCAGCGTGTTGCCTAATTAGACCATCTGGACGTGAGAGGTGTCCAGACTCAGGGAAATCCAAACCCAGTGAAGGTGGGGGCTTCCTGGGAGCGCTATGTAGAGCAGCTTCTCCCAGCTCTGGGCGCGTTCCCACACGCTGGGACAGAAGCCCCCCTCTGGCCACAGACAAGGCTGTGCAGGAGGGGCCTGCCGGCTGGGGCGGAAGCCGGAAGCCGGGGTCCCTCCCCGGACACCTGCAGAGGCCGAGGATAGCCTGCCATCCTGCTTAGAGGGGAGCGTGGGCTTTAGGAAGGGTGTTCACACACTCCACGTGAAGCTTTCTCTCTCTGGAGGGAACCATCCTGAGAGGCTCAACTGCTGGAGGACTGATCACAGAGAACAGACCCAAGCCCGTGGGCGGCGGGGTCCACCTCGCAGGAGGTGATGGGCGCTGATGACCACTAGGGAGCCGGGGTGATGACTCACCTGTCAGAGTGTGGGAGCATTAGTGCACTTATCAAAATAAGCGCTGACTCGTGTGTGGGACCAAAATAAATGAGGCCAGCCTGAACGAGATGGGGCTCCTGCCAGGAGAATACAGGACGTCTAAGAGAAAGTCTATAAACGTGACTCTGTTTGTTTTATGAGGTTCCCAGGGGAAACTTTTTTTTTCCCCAGAATTCTGGGTGTTTGTTCCTGATGTTTCTGAAAATTCAGTCAGATCACCAAGTGTTTACTGCACCTCTGTGATTAGTGAGGTGTTCTGAGGGGACTGGGAGTAGAAATGAACTTCCAGTGATTTCTGTGCATGGAACCCAAATGGAGACCGGGAGGGCAGGAGGAGGGCAGAGGGACCAGGAGGCCGGTGACAGGATCACATGAAGAAGACGAAAGAATGAGACCACCTAGGAGACCCCCACCCGCCCAGCAGGCCTCCCAGGAGAGGGTGGGGAGGTGGAACAGAGGTGGTGCCTGCGGATTTCACAGAAGTGATGAAAGAAATACCTTCATGGATTCAGAAGACTTAGGTCCTCCCAAGCAGGATACTTAAAAAGAAATCCGTATCCCAATCTCTGCTGCGAAATCACCATTACCAAAGGCAGAGGGGTGATCTTAGGAGGGGTGAGCAGGGGAAACCAGGTTTCCTGCAGGCGAGTGGTGTGGGTGGCAGGCTTCTCACCTGCAGGATGAAGTCCACGGTACAATGGAATGACACCTTCACAACGCTGGGAGGATGTGGACCTCCGTGCAGGACTGTTCACCCCTTCTAAGCCATCGTAGGTGAAATAACGCCAAAAAGACTTGTTCACACAGACCCTGGCTGAAAGAATTACTAAGGAAATAAGGAAAATCCAGGAGGAAGAATGACATGCAAGATGCCCCAGTGGGATTTCTTTAAAAAGGCAAACATGAGTAAACCTCAATAAACTGCATTGACTGCACAACATATAATAATAAAAGGGCTCATGAGGGGTTTAAACACAAGATGAAAGCAAATTCTGGGTGATGGTAACAGGTAACACAGACACCTCATCTCAGGGAATGCAGTTTTGAGTCCTGGCTCAGTCAAAAGGAGGATGAAAATTCTGATTCATTTTACTTTGTTAATGTATGTGTGTTAGAAGTGGAGAACTCCACAAAGTCTGAAGTGTAATTTTATTTAGTGATTTGTTGCCGTTCAGTCGCTGCCAAGTCCGATTCTTTGGGACCCCACGGACTGCAGCATGCCATGTTTGTCCCCCAGAATTTGCTCAGATTCACGTCCACTGAGTCGGCGATTCTATCGAACTGTCTCATCCTCTGCTGCCCGTGTGGTAGTGATATCTAGTCTCAATTTAAATTAAGCTAAAAAAAAGTTGGTTTAGAGAAACATAAGACAGTTATAGTTGATGGCGGGACAGGCAAGCTGAGCATGCGGTTGCTGCAGTGGAGGTGACCCGGGGAGTGCTGCTGCAGGGGGTCTGTGACGGAGCTGAGTTCTCATTGGAGAAAGACACTGAAAACGTCCTCATTCAAGGGTTTGGGCTTTTTTAATGTGCCAGCCTTGAACCCTAGGTCCACTGATGCTATGAATACCCAAATTCTCTTCCAAGTACTCAGTGATAGTGAAATCTCTGGGCATGTAATTTTTATTAATTTTTATGGAGCAAAGTTGATAACGCTGTGTTAGTTTCAGGAGTACAGCAAAGTGAGTCGTGGTGCCGACACTCAAATCCGCTCTTTGTTAGGTGGTTCCCCGTGCAGGTCAGCACAGAGCACTGGCGAGCACGCCCTGTGCTGTACGTAGCTTCTCATTAGTTGTCTGTCTTCTGTGAGCTGTGTTCAGTGGCTTCAGTCATTGCCCACTCTTTGTGACACTATGGACTATGGCCCACCAGGATCCTCTGTCCATGGGGTTTTCCTGGCAAGAATACTGGAGTGGGTTGTTAAACCCTCCTCCATAGGGATCTGACCCAGGGATCAAGTCCACGTCTCTTTCATCTCCTGCAATGGAGACAGATTCTATCAATAGTGTATCTACCTGAATCCCAGTCTCCCAGTTCATCCCACCCCGCTCTTTCCCCGCCTTAGCGTCCATACATTTGTCTTCTGCCTCTGTGTGTGGGCATATTTAAGGCAGAGCTACTGCCTTTCCTCCCAGAGACCACCTTACCTCCTTAAATCAGAGTGCAGAGCTGAGTATCTCTGCTTCCACGCTGCCCTCTAATTGATGCTGCAAATCATCTCTTCCAGTGAGCACGGGCCAGGGGGGCCGGAACCCTGGGGCTCCCACACAGCCCAGCTGAGCCTGACGCTACCTCCGAATTCATGAGAGCCCTGGCTACTTTTGAGCCTGTAGAAATAAACCCTGAGCTCATCACACCGCCCAAAGAAACACCTTGCTCCCTGCCTGCAAGCAGCTTCTGTCTTTTCGCAGCAGAGTTACAGGGAGACTCATGGTCCTCCGACTTGCCTAGCCAGGATGTTTCTCTCTCTCTCAAACACACACACACACACGACCCAATGGCTGCCAAGCTGGGAGTGAAACACGCATGTGTTGTCTCCAGACCGTTTGTCCAGCCGTCCTGGCCACGAAGGCCGGGGTGAGACACAGAAACAGCAGAGCCCCTGCCCTGGGTGTGACTACTGCCCCCCACTCAGCCTCTGACCAGCCTGATGCCACTTACTTCAGTTTGGAAGTAAAGCGAAGTGTTATTTGGAAGTTCAGAGCAAATGACTAGTCCTGAATATTGAAGTGAATGTGTCATCATTCAGTCAGCCTAAATCACTATTGAAGTTTCAGCCTCTGCTGTCTCCCCTCCGTTCCGTACCATTGTAGAGTTGATACGCGTCGCTGGGGTCTGAACTTGGCATTATTTTCCGTGCCTCTGCTGTTTGCTGCCATAACTCACATACTCAAGCTCATGGCCCCTCCACCCCCGTGAGGGTGAAGAATATGCCTTCATACTCAGAATGAATCACTGCCCACTTTAGGTCGGGTAGACTCTGGCTCCTTCCTGGGGTGTAACCCCTTCTGCACAAGTATGTCCAGTTAAATGTTCACATGTTAATTAACCATATGCTTGAGCTTATCGAGTTGACTGTCAGTTAATGGAGGCCATTCAACTTTGACAAGTGATGATGTAAACTGTTTCCCGCTTCTTTCCACAAACTCACACTTAGGAAGTTTGGGTCTTTTCTCGTCAGGGCTGAGAGAAAGAAAACTAGGGATCCCTGTTCTGTTTTGCATGATTTGGGGGGACTCCCCTGGTGGCTCAGTGGTAAGGAACCCACCTGCCAATGCAGGAGACCCAGGTTCAATCCCTGGGTCGGGAAGATCCCTTGGAGAAGAGAATGGCTGCCCACTCCAGTATTCTTGTCTGGAGAATCCCACGGACAGAGGAGCCTGGCAGGTTGTAGTCCATGGGGTCGCACAAAGTCAGATGTGACTGATCATACACACGCATCATCTGGGGGCAAAGGAGACCAGAACTTGTTACCTTCTGGCCCCAGAGCCCACCTGGCAGCCACGCCTGCACTCGTGTCCTAGCGGCGGCCGTGGAGGTGGCGGGCGGCACGTCAGCTGCTGCGAGTGCCCGTGGAGTCCGCTTGCCACGTGGCGTCTGCTCCAGTGACACACGGGCGGACCGGCCGAAGCACACAGCCTCGTGGCCTTCGTGCCCCAAGGTCTCCCGTGCGTGGCTTTGGCAGCCGCACGGACACACCCACAGACGGGACGGCCCACGGTCCGTGGCAGTTTCCCGACGAGCGGTGGCAAACGTAGCCTCTGCCTGTAGCAGCTGCAAATCTGCTTCATCTTCGTACAGAAGCACTTCTGTTTTTTGCCGGCCGATGTTGAAATTCAGCCTTGAAAAGTAACAGCACAGACCGACTCCAGAGAGCGTGGGCGCCCCCCAGGCGGGGAGCCTGGCAGCTCACAGCCCTGAGGGACTGGCTGCCCCGCAGCTCCGCTGTAATTGCTTCCACGTGCCATATGTGCGGGGGCGCTGTGGAAACAACAGCCCGAAACAACAGAGGCGGGCCGGCTCCTCAGAGGGGCTCCGGGCAAGCGGGCAAACCGCCAGCCAGACGCCTGCCCACCCAGGGCTGCAGGCCAAGGGGGGGCCGGGGTGGGCACCCCACACCCTCCCGGGACAGGGTGGGGGGACACTGCAGTGGTCTCCCGGCAGGAGACAGCAAGGGGGTCAGAATCCGGGGGCGGGAGCTGCTTCTGAGAATTTGGAGGCAGGTAGTTTCGGTGGGTGAGGAATTTAGAGGGAAGTAAGCCCCTTGACCAAAACTTCACTTTGAAACTAGGATTTCACTTTGTAAAAAAGCAGCACATTGTTTGAGTCAACGCATGGAAACATCCAGACTGTTTTGGCCTTGGTGGCAGATGTCCTATGCACACTGCCTAAGAAGCTGCTGTCGCTCCATAAATATTTATGGGACCTGTAATCCTCCACATCCCAAGGATTTCTGTGCTCATCTCACCACCCATTCCTGCTGGAGCTGGGCTTGCAGGCCATTTTACCAGCAAGCGTTTCTCACCCTCAGGAAGCCCGCCCCAGGCCGAGGAACCCAGGGCTGCCGAAGCCTCCTGCCCGCGGGCAGCCAGGTGTCCGACTTAGGCCAGCAGGCAGCCTTTCTCTGCTGCTGAGGTTTGTTCTAAGAAAGTTCGGGGTTTCTAGCTCCGTCCAACTGGCTGCAGATCTGACTTGTCAGACGAAGCAAGCTGTTTGCCACATAGTGCTGCCACATCATGAAAGGAGTCTCAGTGCGCAGGAATTTTAGCCTTTTCTTTTAAGTGTCTCTGCTCTTCTTTGCAAGACATGAGGGCTTCCCTGTGTTTTTCACCAGGGATCTGAGAGCAGTTCCTCTAATAGTTCATTTGACAGCTTCCTGTTGGCTTGAGGATTAGAACCATGTTTCTGATCACATGAAACTTAGCATTTTAGGAAAGGGATCCCAGAACTTCCCTGGTGGCCCAGTGGTTAGGAATCCGCCTTCCGGTGCAGGGGACGCACTGCAGGCTCAGTCCCTGGTCAGAGAGCTAAGGGTACCCCCCATTGCAGAGCAGTTGAGCCTGAGACACATGCGCACACACACACACCTGGTCAGAGAACTAAGGGTACCCCCCGTTGCAGAGCAGTTGAGCCTGAGACACATGCACGTGCGCACACACAGACAGCCCAGGAGGGGCAGCCTCAGAGCAAGGCGGGCCACAGTTTAGTGACAAGCAGGAGGGACAGCCTGCAGTGGGAGGGGTGGGGTGGCAGGCAGGCAGACAGTTCTCTCTGGGGACAGGACCTCTGGGTCCACCGGGCCACTGGAGGACCAGCTTCAGGGCTGCCCCCGCTCTGACCCCCACATGGGCTTCTGGCTCCAGCACTTCTGGACCAGACTCCTCGGGCCAGCACTCGGCCCCGGCAGCAAGCAGTCACGCTGCTGGGGCTCGTGGAGGCTGGTGGGGGCGAGGGGCCGGAAGCTTGGGGGAAGCAGTGAGTGGATGTTTAATAGAAGGAATAGTTACTGCACGTGTGTCAACAGTTCCACCATCAGACAGATTCCACCCCAGAATGTAGTTAACGTAACGCCTGAGTACTCAGGCTGAACCCCTGGGTCCAGAGTCGGGGTGCCCCACCCTGTGTCTGCAGGCTTGGCAGGAGGTGCGGGGAGCTGGCCGTCGCCCTCCGCAGGGAGCCGTGTCTGGAACCTGGTCCAGGAAGTCCTGCTCTCACCCTTCTCCAAGTTTCCAAACCCATATCAGCAAAGACTTCCAGAGGATCTCCTGTCCGGCGCCTGGAAGAATTCCGCCTTCTGTGGGCAGCCCGTGGCAGTGTGCACTGTAAGTGTGGAAGTCTGTGCTGACCGCGCTGGGCAGAGACGCCCTCGGCAGAGGAGGGCCTGCGTCCCTGCGGAGCAGAGCCGCCGAGGCCAGCGGCTGGCGAGCAGCGCCACCCCATGGCCAGGCTCGGAAGCGCCGCCCAGCTCTCGGGCGCTGTCCCCAGAGCATGGCGGGCTGCGGCGGCCTCTGGGGAGGCGCCCCCCGCCGCTCCTGCTGCACAGCCCTGAGACTGTGCCCCCGGGTCCCTCACCCCCGCTACCAGGCAGCTGTCCGTGTTAGGGCCCCCTACGGACAGGGCTGCGGAGTCCGAGCGCGTCTGACACGGGAGCTCAGGCTGTGACGTGGAGGCTGCACTTTACTGCGCAGAGGTCCTGGCGGGGGCGACCAGTGCTGCCGCCGGTGCCTCCAGAATGGATGCAGAAGTCTGGAAGGGGGTGGCCAGTGGGAAGGCCGATTTCCCTCCCTTGTCCGTCCATCCCATAGACCATTTACCGAGTGCCAGCACGCCGGGCACTGCTCCCCATCCCCAGGCTGATGTGGCCACAGCAGGGAGTTTGCATGGACCGCAGTGGCCCCGCCCTCGTCCCGCTGCTGTAGAAGCGGCATTGGGTTCCGGTGATGTTAGCTGCATTGCCTCTAGGTTGCCTCACCTCTGTGTAATCAACTCCCTACCTTAAATCCCTTGGTTATTCACACATTGAGTCTGTTTGCTTTGACCCGGACTGATGTAAAATCACTAGAAAGTTTTAAACAGGCGAGTGACATGCTCTTCTTTCTGGTTTACTAAGTACAGCAGGAGGTCTAGTTAGACGGCTTGGGAGAGAGGATGGAGGCCTGGGCTAGGGTGTTACCATGGTGACAGAGATGGAGAGTGGCCAGCAGGTCTGGAACATTGTCAGTAGGACATGCTGATGGATAGAATTGGAGGTTGCTGGGAAAAATCGAGGCATCGATGCCTCCAGGGTATTGGCCAGAGCAGGTGGGGAAATGGGCTGCCATTGACTAAGACAATTAAGAACGGGAAGGGGCAGCTTTCAGGAGGAAGATTGAGAATTCTAGCAGCTGGCTATTCAGTTACTGATGCCCAAGGGGCGGGACCACCGGAGGCAACTTTCCCAACTTTGTCTGGGACTCAGGTTGACCCCACTCTGAGATGCACTTCTGACGGTCATGGAAGAAGCCGTCCTCCCAGAAGCCTCACCCCTTGCATCACTGCAGGAAAGCTACTCAGGGCAGGCACGCAGAGCAGGCAGCCAGTCTCTGGCGAATACCAGAGCGTTTGGGAGTCATGGTGATTTTGTTGAACACCTACAACTGCAGGTATGTTTTATTCCCTCTGGTACCCAGAACAGTTTTACAGGCAGAGGAGACTCCTATCTTATATGCATATCATTTTCTGCACTTAAAAATGATAATATTTCAAGAAACCACATTTTAGCTGGACAGAAATAAAGTCCATAAGTCTGTGTGCTCAGCCTGACGTGCAGGCAGAGATGTGGAACGCGGCAGAGAGCGGCAGGGTTGATGTCTCAGGGGCTCGCCTCCATGGGCAGCAGGATGTGGGCACAGCCACTCTGGGGAAAACTCAAGTTGCATGCATTCTACCCACCGACTTCTCTTCTTGCCTCTCGGATTTGGGGGCAGGAATTCCGGTGTTCCTCCTGGAGCACAGAGAGCAGCCAGCCCGCAGGACGCTCCTCCCCGTGGGCAGGCGAGGGGCCAGAAGGCCAGTCCAGGCCCCCAGGACCAGAAGCGTCTCTGGCAAACACTAACACACTTCTTTTGCACAGAAGAGGAAGAAGTAGGAGTCTTGCTACCCTTCTGTAAATTAAGCTTTATCCTGTGCCCCTAGACTGAACTGAAGGCATCTTCTCCCATATTTTTACCCAAAGTAGCATATCTGTGAGGTAAAAATGGTCTCTGTCCTGCCCTCCCCCACGTCCCCCCGAGCCATGACATGCTTGGTCCGTGTCCTTGGGGTGCAGGTGAGAGAGTGTGGGCTGGTGTGGCCCACCGTGAGGTCCACAGCCTCTCCTGACAGTTGGAAGCAGCACAGAGTCTTGGGCAGACTCTCAGGAGTTGGGTGAGACACACGCCGAGACGGTGAAGAAATACCTTTCCAAAGCAGGTGCAGTTCAGATACAAGGCCTTCCTCCCCCTGCAGACCCCCAGCTTCACTGCATCAAGCCGAGCCCAGCGGCAGGAGGGGTCCAGCTGACTCATGGCAAGTTCAGTCCTGTGCTTGGGAAGCAAGCAGGTGCCGTGGGCAATTTTCCTTCCTAACCCCGTGCTTCTTAGAAAAGGAGGTCTCTGAGTGGGACTTACTCTGGTGATGCCCCCAGGAGTGCCTGGTTCTGAAATCAAGGGGCAAAAACCCGGATGGCTGAGCGGCGGGGGTGGCTGGGTGCAGCCACATCCAGGACACCATGAATTAGATACATTCTTCCTAGCTTGGTCACGGAGCAATGTTCATACCGTGATGTTAACTGGGAAATGGGGGGATTGGCAGAATATGCAAGGACTTCCCCAGTCGTCCAGTGGTTCAGAATCCACTTTGCAATGCAGGAGATACGGGTTTGATCCCTGTTGGGGGATCTGTGATCCCAGGTGCCACAGAGCAACTAAGCCGACCCGCCCAACCATGGAGTCCACGAGAGTCCATGCGCTCGCTGCAGCAGAAGGTCTGCATGGAGCAGCAGACATCCCGCGTGCCGCAACAAAGACCCAGCGCAGCCAAACAAATAGGTTTAAAAATTGAATTTAAACCCGGAATATTGCACTCAGCGCACCCCCCACCCTGAGGAGCACTGCTTGTCTCCTGCCACACGAGGGACAGCGGTGTCCTCGGGACCCCGCCGTGTGCACTAGGGGTGGAACCTGGGATGCGTCTCACCCCCGTCTCACCCGGGACAGCTGACCCACACAGGTGCCCACGAGGGCTGGTTTCCCCAGCTCTGTGTCTCCTCATGTGTTCCTGGCGTGTGCAAGTTTAGACCTGTGGGGTTTGCCTCATGTGCAGGCCCCAGTATCACCACCACAGTCACAGCCCCACGGGGACCCCCTCTTACAGCCACGCCCACCTCCCCTCCCACCATCCCTAACACCTGGCGACCGCTCACCTGTTCCCCATCTCCGTAATTTTCCACTTCAAGAATGTCCTGTAAATGGACTCATGTGATGTGTAACCTTTGGGGATTGGCTCTTCTTGCACTCAAGTTTAATTCTCTGGAGATTCATCCAAGTTGCTATGCCACAGTTTGTGCTGTTTTTTATTGCTAAATTCTGTGTTTGATGAGATTTTGAAAGGAGTTTTAAAGACTATTGACCACCTCTCAGAGCTAGGATATTTGCCCAGCTGAAGTCAGTGGCACTCGAATGGAGAGAAATTTTGCGTATCTCTCTGGAGGCTCAGATACTGAAGAATCCACCTGCAATGCAGGAGATCTGGGTTCAGTTCCTGAGTCAGGAAGATCCCCTGGAGGAGGAAATGGCAACCCACTCCAGTATTCTTGCCTGGAGAAGCCCATGGACAGAGGAGCCTGGCAGGCTGTAGTCCATGGGGTCGCAGAGAGTTGGATGCGATTGAAGCAACTCACACTTTTCACTTTCACTTCCAGAATCTTAAATATCCTATAAAACAATCCTCACTCTCCTGTCTTCTCAGGAAACTCACATAATCCTGATCCTGCAAAACCTCAGCTAGACTTATCACCTCTTATTTTACTGCAATTAAATAATGTCTCCCCAAATACATTAAAGTTACAGAAGTCATCTTTACTATTTCCCTTTAAAGTTGTTTATGCACAGAGTATAACTTACATCTCGTTTCTACTTCGTTTTCTTTTTCCCTTGGCTAAGATACTGTTCATTTGTCTCTTACAGTGGCTTGATTTTTACTGTGCTACTGCTGTAATATATGGTCTTTAGTTTATTGGTTTATGCCTTATATTAAATTATCTTCATATAAGATTTGCAAGAAAAATGGCTTTTCAGCTTACTCGGGAATTTGGGTGACTTAATTTGGAGAAGGTGATTCTAAAGAAAGAAATTACAGACTGAAACATAGAGAGTCAGAGGAAAAAGGAGGGTTTCCGAGGAGGCAAATGAGACGCAGCAGAAGCGCCGGCTGACCTCTGAAGGTCAGAGCCTGACAACAAACATGGTCAAGGCGGTGCCACTGCAGGCTGAAGGGACCCCAGGCCCATGGGGACACCAGTGTCTCCCCGAGGACTCGGGGCTCCACCCTGGGGTCTCTGATGGGCCCCCAAGCATCCGTTCCCTCCGTCTCGTTCCTGCCCCCCCCCCGGCTGGCTCACCCACGGGAGACCCCAGCACTGGGACCTGGACTGCTTCTTCTGCCCCTCGCCCGGGCCCCCTGTGGATCGTCCCGCTTGCTGTTGGCTCTGGTACCTCCTGCCCAGCCAGCAGCTGCACGGGGCTGAGGACAGTGGGCAGAGTCAAGGCCCCCGGCCCGCAGGGCTGTGGGGGTTCCGGGCTGGTGACACTGCCCTTGCGGGGTCACCTCGGCAAAGGCACCATGCTGGTGGGTGGCCCACGCCGACAGGTGGCAGGAGGGAGCCACAGGTGAAGGTGGTGCTCCGAAGGCGCCCCATGACCTCGGCCGCGACTTCTGCAACTACAACGAGAGTTCCCATCTGCGCTGACCTGCACCTGTTCCCTGTGAGTCTTGCGGAAGGGGGGGTGCCCATGGGCGCTGTACCCGATCGCATGGCCCAGGGCCGCCGCACCCGTCATGCCCCCCACGGGGATGAGAGGACAGCCAACAGGAGCACGGCTAGAGCAGCGCCTCGGGAGTCGGCGTGGAGACGACCCGGACGGGGGCTGCAGAGAGCCGGCACAGGGGACCCTGTACGGGCGACGAGACAGACCCACGAATCTTGACGGCACAGTGTCGCGGGGAGGAGCGGCTCAGGGCCCCTCGGGTGCGCCCCCAAGTCCATTGTGCAGAGTGCGGAGCGGGCGGCGAGTCCTCCGTCAGCCGACTGTGAAGAAGCAGTCTGCGTGCAAAGCGTCCCCGGTCACCGACGGACGCCACACAAAGGGGCGAAGCGCTGACGCAGCTGCAGGGCCTGCGAGCCTCGGAAACGGCGCTCAGTGAGAGAAGCCCCGCGGAGGGACACTAGGTGTGTGATTCCATCTCAGAAACGTCCAAAACAGGCGAATCCCAGAGACAGACGGAAGATGACTGGGTGCCAGGGGCTGCGGGGCGGGGGGGGGGGGTGTGTGCAATGGGCAGTGCCTGGAATGGTGGGGGTCTCCTTTGGGGGTGACGGAAATGTTTTGGAGCAGCCAGGTAAAAGTGGTGGATGCGTACCATTGTGAGTGTGCTAAATACGGCCAAATTGCTCTCCTTAAAATGCTGATTTTATGTGCATTGCATGCCAATTTAAAGAACAGCTTTATAAAGGCCTTCACTTTATTCAACCACTCACTTGTCCACTCCCACCCTAGTGTATTCACACGTGCTGGGCGGGCAGGAGCAGGCACAACAGATGTCAGGCAGGGTTCACCGTCAGCACGATGGTTCTTACCCTGGGGTCTTAAAACACAGTCGCAACCCCGAAGATTCTGATTCTGCAGGCCGAGATGGGGCGCTGGCAGCTCTGATTGTAAACCGCATGCAGGTGTCTCCCATGACTAGCCTGGTCTGTACGTGGTGGGGACCACCTCTAACCAAGCACGTAGAAAGCCCAGCTCTGGGCCTTGAGATATCCTCAGGGACAGGGGCTCGGCCACACTCTGGAGAAAAGGCAAAGTCCTGCACTTGGCTCAGAACAGAGCCTGAGCGACTTGGCTTCTTGGGGCTGCCACTGCTGCTACTGCTAAGTTCTTGGGTCTGGTCCTGTTCAAATAGGTGTCATGCCCGCCTCTGACCACATGGCGGCAGGAGTGAGACAGGCGTGACGGCCAGGGGTTCCCCGGCGTCACCAGGAGCAAGTCAGATGTAAAGCATCCTTAGTCAAAGAAAACTGGGAGTGTGTGTCTAAGAGAGTGAGGCGTTCACTCCCTGCGGTTTATTGAGAGAGCGGTCGGCAGGCCAGCGTCCATTTCTGAAATAGCAACGTAGTCCTGCATGGGACCCCCGGATTTTGGAGCGTTAAGTCTGAAAAGACTACCCAAGGAGGTGAGATTTGAGCTGACCTGGGTAAAAGATGGTGTCCAGAACCAAATGGCAGCGTGGGGAAGAGGAAAAGCAGTGGCAGGAGCGACACGGGAGAACTTTGGAAGCGTGAGCCGCATACAAGAAGCCACAGGGCTGCGTGACTGCGCCGTGTGGTTCCGTTTACGCGAGTGTACAGAGAGGGGACGCAGATTCCTGGTTGCCTCCAGCTGGGGGACGTGGGAGGTCCTCCATGGGAGGGGGTTTCTTTTTGAAATAATAAGATGTTCTGGACTTAGTGGTGACAGTTGTACAACCTTGTGAATATACTAAAAATCACTGAATTACACATTTTAAATTACACAGTTTAAACAGGTGGATTGCATGGCATATGACATATTTCAACTGAGCTGTTTTTAAGTTTTTATTTTAAATTGTATTATTTTATTTATTTATAGTTAAAACAGACACGAGTGAAGCGACTTAGCGCGCAGCACGCAGACGTGTTTGTTTACTTATTGGGCTGCACAGGGTCTTAATGGCAGCACTTGGGATCTTTGATCTCCGCTGCAACATACAGGATCTTTTTTTTTTATCTGCGGCTTGCAGGATCTTAATTCTCAACCAAGGCTCAAACCCAGGAGCCAGCAGTGAAAGCCCTGATTCCTAACCACTGGGCCATGCGGGAAATCCCATTCTTTTTCCTTTGTAAATAGTAACCATTCTGATAGGTGTGAGGTGGGAGCTCATTGTAGTTTTCATTTGCATTTCCCTAATGATTAGTGATTCGAGCATCTTTTCATGTGCTTACTCCTGAGACTGAGAGAAAAAGGGGGAAAGTCTTTAAAAATTTTATTTATTTCAACTTTTTAAATAAACTAGTAAATTTTATATTGTAATATCTAATTCATGACCAAACTTAGAAAATGAAGCTAGATCTCACACTGTGTCTGTCTAAATATGTCTTGGTATGTCTTTGTCTCTGGGTAATATTTTTTAGGTTAATTTGTAAATGAGCTCTATTTAATTGGCTTAAAGAAAGGTAAGTGCTTACAAATCAAATAATTCTAAATTAATAAATTCCAGGTTCAGGTGAACTGGGAAATATTCAGTATTAAATACCTGATATTAATGTTGTTTGTTGACCTATCTAATATAGACATGTCTTAGAGTAATTAACATCAAGTAGAATATTTTCATTGTACCTAGGTTTAATATAAGTTAAATATTATATCTGTTACAAGTTTGTCAACAAGGAAATTACCTATAGTGAAGAAACTTCTAAAAAATGTAAATGAGATATGTTTGTATATAAACTATTAAGAATAATTATTCTTTAGGAATATCTGTCTACAGTAGTCTCTCCAGATTGGCATAGCTTAAATTTCTAAGGGTTGTGCTAAACTAAGTATTGGAAGTCTACTGAATAATTAGGTCATTTCCAAATAAAATAAGATTTTGAAACATTTACTACTAAACACTGATTTCCTTTTACAGAAAAACTAAAGAGATTTGGGACTATAAATGAATAATGTCTGATGCCATCCTAAAATGTTTTAAGAAAGCAAGGGTTTTAGAAATTAGCACTGGTATTTATGCTCAACAATCTATAAAATGCTAATATAAAAGTTAGCTCTTGGTTGCTAAAGGAAAGTAGAAAGTGTGCTTTCAGTAAAAAAAAGGTATAAAAAAATACTAAAAAGAGTTATGCATGATCAGGATTTTCTAAAATTGGATTACAATTAGCTAGATAAATGCATTTTGTTAGGAACGACACGTCATAAGAAAACTGGCTAGAGCCAACTAGGTCCAAGATGGTGGAGCTGACCTTCACTCGACCTTGAGCCTCGGTGTTCGCGCCCATTGTGACACATCAGCAAGCTGAACGACACGCCCACCAACACTGACTGAATCTGACCAAATGTTCTAAACACTTTTAATTGATCTTTTCAATAAAACTTCCTAAATCGAATTCTTTTGAAGTTCCTTTGACCTCTAGCTAAACTTGGGGTGCTTCAGAGGGCCCCTGAAACATCCCAAAGAGAGATATTAAACTATGTTTATTTGGTTGGTTAAATTACATGAAAAAGATTATCAAATGAGTAGTAAATCCACTCAAGTTATAATGTATGGTAAAATTACTAATATAGATATCCTAGAAATTATATGGAGTTCTTGACATTTTGATATGTCTTGGTATTCTAATGAGAAACCTGATGACTTCACAAAAGTTAACAAAGGATTGAATGAACCAGTGAATATGCTTATAACTTTTATGGTTTCTATCTGAAAAATTACAGGTTTGAATCTTGTGTTTTCCCGAAGTAGGGAAAACCTTCCTCTCAAACTAATTATGAAAATAATTTGGTAAAATTATACGTTATAAACAAAACAATTATATTTTCTATCTGTCTCCTCCAGAAATTTGAAACTCTTAGGTTTCCAGTAAGTTTATCAAATGAGCTAGGAAGGTTATCTCACTAACAGGTACAAAAATCTCAAGGAATTTTTGAGACCTTAAAAAGAGAAGAGTTCACCTAGATTTGTTAGGCAAAATCTGTGATAAGCCTTTGGTGGGAGATTCCCGGCCCTGTTTTATATTAAAATTCAGTCTGAGATTCTATAAATGTTTCAGCAAAATAAAAAGTCTATAATCAATTATGGTTATATATATCATTAGACCAAAATTAGTGAGAACAGACCTACTTTGCAAACAAACTAGCCTTAATTTGGTTATATTTTATAAAAATGAGGGTAACTTTAGAGAGAAAAAGATATTTCAAAAATGTTAAATCCCAGTTTGTTAATGGAGGTCTATATGTAGTAAGACTAATTTCTTAGATAATTCTTTGCTGTTATGTGATATTAATGCAAAATTTAATTAAATTCTTAAAGAACACCCTAAGTTTCTTTCTGAAGCTTATCTCAGTAATCTATCTTTGGATGAAGATCAGATGCCTCATGACCTGTAACCAGGACTGGAACAAGAGATAACTTAAGAGACTGTCTCCAACCTGGATGGAAGGACTTTTTATCAGGTACTCTTTACTAGCTCATGCACAATGAAACTGAAGGGAAATTAACTCTTAGATTAATTCCCACTTCCAAAGGCCCCTACACTGGGTTGGTCTATAGAGAAGACAGCCGACCTGATCTCACCTTAAAATGATGCTCAAACAGGAGAAACTACAGTACACCAGGATGAGAAGACAGCAACATCAGAGGCAGACAGCTTGTCCAAGATGCTGGACCTGATTCGTATGATCGTTTATAGTGTTCTCTTGACTTCTTAGACCTTTGCATATAAATCAAATGCTTTTCTATCATAGGCCTGATTCTATGCTAGTTTTAGAAATCAATCCAATTGTTGGGTTTGTGGCCAATTACCTGTGTCTAGCTCTGGGTTACCTTGGTAAATTTCTCTACTACAAGACTCTAACTGGTTGGCCCTGAGGAAATTTACTTAAAATATATATATATATATATATATATATATATAGTCATATTCAGGTCACTGTGATACTACTACACTGGATCCCCTCACTGCGCCAATTAATAATGCCTACTCTGACTCTGGCTATAAATTTGAGCCTTTTTCTATTCCTCAAGCTCAATCAGAGCAACAAGAAAAGTTTCAGCAAAGGAGAAAGAAATCTCCCACAATTATGAGATGGATTTATATAGATAACACCAGGCTATGGTAATTTAGGTTTAAAGTCTCCTCTCTGTTAAAAACAATTAAATCATACTAAAGATAATCAGTCTAGTAACACTAGAAAACTGGGCTGTGTGCCTTATAGACGGTGGTGCCAATGTATAATTTCCCTGAAAGATAAAGATTCTTACAGAGTAGACTAAGTCAGATGACCTGGGATATACTGGGCTACATCTAATGGAAGCTCTTAAGTCTTACTTGTGACTTTACTAGTACTGCTGCCTATGTTCTTTGTATTTCACCTGTTTTACAAAACTGCTGTTTCTTACACTGCCAAATGTGT